TATATATATATATATATATATATATATATATATAATATGCAGTTTATAATGTAAACGCCTCGTATCAAACACAGTTATGTAAATATAAATGTGTAAATCCTTCTTCTTCCGCATGGTCAATCTGATTGTATTCGACCTTGCTATTTGTTATTGACCGAACACCCTCTTTTTTGTTGGCGGGTGGGTTTCCTTCTAAGGAGACAGAATCCAATTCAATCCGTAATTAGTTTAGCTTGTAACATCGTGCTTTTGATTTAAAAACAAACTTAAATGAAGATTTCTGCCACCCTTTTCACCGTACACAATAAAATCAGACTTTTTTAAAAAACATTTTAGACCTATCATCTCACCTGGACTCTCGCAAACCCCAGTTGAGAAATTCTTCAAACCTTTCACGACCATGACTTTTATAAAGGATTAGGCCTTCAAAGCGCCCATCCGTGGTCCAAAAACTTATGGTGCTTTCTTTAATATAAACTGACGGAGCCCAACCACTTTCCAGGCTGGTTTAGAATTCAGTTTTCCTTATCCTAGGTCGTCAAATATCCAAAACTATAAGACCCGGTCCTGTCCAATTCCGCAGCTGGTCAATTCTGATATAAGAAACAGTTTTCAAATTGTCACTGGTGTAGAACCATAGAAAGGTAACACTTTCTCTCTGATATAAGGTTAAATTCAGATTCTTGAAAATTCTAAAAGGGTAAAAGTGGACTGGAGTTATTTCTCACTAAGTCCTTCTTCTCACTCTATGAAAATTACCCAGCGCTCGCGACCGAATTCCAGATGTGACACAAGGTCAATTAATGGGAGTCTCAGAGTGCGAGGACCGACATCTGGTCCACACCCAGCGGCCTGTTTTGATATCATGTCTTTCCCCAGGGCTTTTCCCTTTTTTTGTTATTATCTTTCCTTTCTTCCTTTTCAGAGAAGCAACTTTAAGAAAATGCTTTTTCCCCAAAAGAGTAATTTACACACTCGGTTTACTGGTACCCCCGCACTTAGTGAATTATTTTCAACCCAGTTATTTTCCGTTTTAAAGAGTCCAAATTAACAACCCACAATTAATAAACTGAATAAGAAAAAGACTAACTTTGTAGGCATATGAATATTTCCAATAAATGCAGAAATTGCTATAGCCTAAGAACCCTTTTAATCGGGTTCAAAAACTTTTTTCTCAGTCTGAGTAACGCCGCGATTGTATTGGGGTCGGAGAAAACCACAATAAAAGTCCGACCTTCTGATAAACCCACGGCAATATTCGTTTCCGTGGGTCACAATCTTAATTTATAAATATCCGTTTGGGATCAAACGCTTACTGGTGTTAAACGCGTTAGTCGAGATTATTTTAATTAGGACATTTGGTAATTGTACCAACCATCACAACTAGATTGCTGCGCCATTGAAATCTTATTTTAAATAAGTTCCTAACGTTTCCTGTACATCGGACCCAATTTAGGACGACTTATTAATAAAATACAAGCCTCCACTGTGAAAAAATACTCCAAAACACATTGTAATCGCTTCATGTAAATATCCGACACGATGTCATTAAAAAAAATAGTTTATATCCATCGTAAATGAATGTTTATATGGCTCTGCTTGATCATCGGGCGCATAAACCTCAATGTGACGAAGAGACTTGTCCCTTATTCGTAACATCTTTTTTTTTTTTTTACATTTTGCCTTTCTCACCAGATCTGCGAAGACAATCGCACTGCATCCAAAGAAATTGCACATCAGCCATGGCATTTTTAAATGACCTTGTCGAGTGTCCATAAAAACATATATATATATATTTATATATATATATAATGCTATATAAATATATAATTTAAAAACTGGGTCTACTGTACACAACATACATCTACCCGAAAACGCTAAAAATCGCTAGTGGCTCTTGTCCTTCTTGATATCCGATACTAAGGCCGGGGCATTCCAAAATTTAGATAACCAAATTTGCCATTATCGGCCCGAATTAGAGTTGGGGATATATATCAAATATATGACCGAGGTATATATATATATATATATATATATATATATTATATAGTGCTATCAAGAGACAGACCACCAATGTCTCCGTTGAATGTTCAAATTTCAAACCTCTATAAAGGGAGAAAGAACTAAAAAAAGAAAGAACAAAGAACATGTACGAACAAAATTGATTTAACTTTTTGACCTTGTCGTCATTAAAAAAAAAAACCCAAAAATGCCAAAGGCAGGAATGTACTAAACCTAAAGTCATTCGAACCTACCTGTTTCAAAGTATATATTTATCGTCAGGGATACTAGCTGTTTTTTGTTTAATTTTATTTTATATATATATTTGGACGTTTAACTTCCTTTTAAAGTTCGCCATTTGAGATATTTTTCATCCAGCCTTTATTTTCTTTTGTTTTTAGTTAAGGTCTCTCCATATTGTAATGAAAGGATTTTTGTTAAGCAAGGTCGTGTGCTCAATGAACCTGGACATTAATTTTAAGGTTACAAATTGGTTTATATTTTCGGCTTTTACATTATCTCTGAAAAACCGAAAATTTAAGTTGTGTCTGATGAAAGGTCTCCGATGACATACTTGTTAATGAAAAAATTGTTGATCCGATTTATTTTAAAGACGACTAACAAGAATTTAATTCTGTAATTTATCTTGTGTTCGTATAATCGCGGTACATTACGACATATATTTATAATTGTTTTACATTTTGATAAACGACGGTTCTTAACTTCATGTTGTAATATATATATATATATATATATATATATATATATATATATATATGTGTGTGTGTGTCTGTGTTTGATAGATTTTTTGACAGATGGAGGCAAAAATGAGAACATTGAAATATGATTGTAACTGTGTACAGTTTATGTTTTAGTTAAAATATTTTATATATATATATATATATATATATATATATATATATATATATATATATATATATATATATATAATAAAATATATGTTTCATTCAGGTGGCCTAAAGAAGTGTTTTCTCTGAATACTTGATTCATTATTTTTTTTTTTTTTTTTTTTTTTTATTATTTTTTAAGTACCTGCCCATCTCTAGGCAGATTAAATTAATGTTTGCAACATCATTCCAATGAAAGTAACGTTTCCACTTATAAGAAATAATGTCGGATTAAAAAAATTAACACGCACACACACAAACACACACACACACACATATATATATATATATATATATATATATATATATATATATATATATATATATATGATAATGAAAAGATGCAGTTTTAAAGTATGCTATAGTAATTCGTTAAAGTGCTCATTATCAGTGACAGAGCGTATATAAATACAGAAGTGGACATCGAAGTCAAAACCTAGTCTGTTTCATATTTATACGCAATCGTCAGACGATTGCCACTGTGTGTTTCAATTCCATTTTACCATTTTTATATATATATATATATATATATATATATATATATATATATATATATTGAGGGTGAAATAAATATTCTTACACATACACATTTTTAATTTATTGGATTTCCAAGTAATTGATAACTTTATGCTCATATGATTAATTCATTGAAATTGATAAATGAGATTTATTTCTATAAGATCAAATTTGTTTTCTGTTTTCTATGCAATTTCAGTTATGCATCTGCATGTAATTATGTAAAAAATATGCTTATTCATTAATTGGAAATTCAATAAATTAAAAATGTGTATCTGTACGAATATTTGTTTTCTAAATATTTATTTATATATATATATATATATATATATATATATATATATATATATATATATATATATCACGTCTGTTCTGTTACGTCCTTCATTCTATGTTATAGGGATTTCATTTAGTGTCTTTTGCCTTAGAGAATTCTTACCAGACGTTTCTGGTTTCGATCATTGAGGACATATTATCGTCTACTGCACTGTCCACGGTGGGTGGTCATTTCTTCCATCAGATGTCTCCCATATACACTGTAAATAGATTGATATCAAACATCCCCCAAATTTCACAAATGGCATACCCTAACCGCTCTGGTATACACTAACATGCGCCTTTTGAACTCCAATAGTGCATGACGTTTTGTCATGAACAGAATTCTCCCCGACTGGCCAGTTGTCTGAGCACAACTGACATAGGTTTGGACAATTCCATGATGTATTGTACGATAGCGCCACCTGCCAACATTTTTCGCCATCATGTTTTTTATATGCCATCGTTGGTAAAACATCTGATGGTTACTTCATTAATATATTCTTGCAGTTTTCAGATAAATTTTTTAACTCATTTCTAAACGATCGAATTATCTTTGCCAGCAAAGAACTGATTGATTGAGTCGTTGAATGAGATTGAAGATTCATTTCTTACGGCTTATCTACCTTCTGCAAGTTATTTAAAGCCAGAAAATATTTTTTTCGGTTGTAATAATATTTTTGGAGATAATAATGATTTAGCGATCCAAGTCTTACTAGTTTAACTCGTAGCTGGAGCGCAGAAAAGTAGGTTTCATACATTTCCCAAGATTATTTGCGTGTAAGTGAATATAATGAACCCAACTGGACTTAGAACTCGGCTCTCCGATTAACAATTGTGAAACATTATCCTTTAACACCACTTACACACATGAGCTTACATATCTTGGTATTCCCCAACGGTCACCACTCGAGGAAATGACCAGAATCGACGTTGCTTTACTTTGGTGATCATATGGGAACCGGTCTTTCTGAGCTGTTACCTTGTGGAACCAAATCCTGAGAAAAAGCTTCCTGATAAGTTTAAAGCAAATTGTTATCTATCTTACATACACCCATAATATGTATTTCTTACACCCTTGAAAAAAACCCATTCAGTATTTCACTATCTTGAGTGGCTCTTTGGTCTTGTATTTGGTGAACAATTGTATAAAACCCTAGAGGTTCTAGTTTACCGCTTAAACTGAAATCGCATGAGAGAAAATTAGAAGATGGAATTGTTTAGTTAAAATCTTATAGTTTTTACACAAGAGGGTTCCATATGGGGTGAATCAACTTAGAAATTACTTATTCTCGTGAACTTCGCAAGTTTGAACACCGTAATAAATGATCCATTTAAATTGTATGAAAAATGAGATCTATTACATGATTTGATATTCAAACAGCTATGTTCATATTCATTGTTACTGTAGAGGGTACAATTGCCGAAAGGTTATGTGTATAACAAACAAAATAAGCATGCTTCGCTGAATACGAAATTATATCAAAGCGACACAAACTTACCTAAAAAAATCTGTTGAAAATTGTTATTAAATTGCATAAAATTTGTACCAATGTAAAGAAGACCTTGAGAAGATTTTAATAGGAAGATTAGAATTCGCGTTCAAGATACAGAAACGAAGATATTTTTGTGTGAAATTTCTTTCAGTAGCTCAAACACTTTAGATAAATAACTTGTGATAACAGATATATTTTTTTTTTAAATTTACGTCAGTTTGTGTCAGCTTGCCTGGAGTTCGGAAAATTTATCTTAAACGGACATCACATGCAAAGTATGAAAAGACTGTAAAAAGAAAAATCTATCTCTCTCACTCTCTCTCTCTCTCTCTCTCTCTCTATATATATATATATATATATATATAATCATTTGAAGATTTTGGAATCGGTCTGTATAGGATTAAGAAAACCTTCTCTCTGTCGGCAGAAAGAATTTATAAGGTCTCTGAATCTGTTGGGGGATATTTTATTTTAACTGTCCCTCGCTAATTTATTTACACGATCCTTCCCTCGTTACAAGTATATATACTTGTTTGTTATTTTAGTGTGTTTCCCCTTTTTTTTTTTTTTTGCTCTTCAATATCGTTAATATTCTTTTCGCTAATCCAACGATTGTCTCCTGATGAGATGTTGGCTGAAAAGGGCCCTAGAGACTTTTTAAAATTAAAATCAATGGTTTCCTTGTTTTTAAAACTATTTATAAATTTTGTACCTCCAAACATTTGTTTATATATATATATATATATATATATATATATATATATATATATATATATATATACAGAAATATAGTTTTAAAGTGTGCTATATTTATGGGATAAAGTGCTCACTATCAGAGACAGAGCGTATATACATATATATATATATATATATATATATATATATATATATATATATATATATATATATAGTAATTTATACAGTTTTTCTTTTTATTCTAGTGGGTAATTTTTGTCTGACTGATGATGTCCGCGTGTGTATAATTCCTGAATATGGTAGTGAGATGTTAGCGTGTCTGTGTATTTGTGCAATATAGTTCTAATTGGTCGGGGTATGTTTGGTGTCGGAGTGAAAGAATTCGGTTCCATCGGCCGCAGGAATGCTGATCTTATATTCCATAAGTATGGTTGTTATGAAAGTTGGTGATACGAAAAAGTTTCTTTGGTGTGCGTTTATCGATTGAAAAGTGATTTTTTTTTGGTTTTTTTTTTTAGTATTCTTGCGACATATTTTCTTCGTAGTAAAGCATGTTTATTTCTTATTAGGATAACGATTTTTAAATCGAAGTTATGGATTCTTTCAAGAAATTTCAAAGTGTTGTCCCAACGTTTGTAACTCTTATGTTAGTAGATGCCGCCATTTAGTTTTTTGGGGTCGTCGTCTGCATAACTGTTCTGGCTTTGCAAGCAATGAATATTATAAGTCCCTTAATCTGATGTGGTGTTGGTTCGATGATTCCTGCTAACGAGGTCTCTGATCGTTTTAAGAGTGGTTGTTATGATCCTAGTGTCATGGTGGCTAGTTCTTTCTCAACTTTTGATGATAGAGCGATGGAGAGTGGGATTATAAATTTTCTGTTATTGATGTCGTCGGAGAACTACATTTGCGGATTTTTGGATTGTGCGTGGTTGTTTCCAAGCGTGACGCATGAACTGATGTAGGCAGTGAATCTGCTTAAATGTGTTTACTATATATTTGATACCAATTCAAATATATATTGGTTTGGTTTGGTTTATTTTGTTTCACGGCATATCTACCTCAATGGGTTATTTAATGCCGACAAAAATTTTGGTAATATTTTATTTTGTCAAAAATCTGTTTCTGGAATTATATTTCCTTCAAAATTGTATTGCTGGTAATAATTTTTTTTCAAAAAAGTATGCTGGTAATAGTTAACTATTTGGCCATACGTGGGACCCTAACAGGTGCTACCACCCCGAGGTCAAGGTGGACCTGGGAACACCAGTAATTAAGAGATGGTTCCACGCTCCTCAAAACCTCCTGATCAGAGGCCTTGCTGCTGGACGTAGTTTAACGTCTTACCCATGACGTGGATGTAGTTTAACGTCTTACCCAGGACGGTTAAATATATATATATATATATATATATATATATATTGATGCATGTTTCATTAAATAATATAGACAAGTTTTATCTATTTATTTTATGCATATTCCTTTCATATGGTCTGATAAACTTAATAGCATTATCATTGAAAGACGAAAGAAAATCACCATATTGAAACATGTTTTTTAATCCTATCTAAGCTTTCGGCTTACATAAGCCACCATCAAAGATGACGATAACGTTACAATATATTAAATAATACACGGACATGGCAATAATTTTTTTGTTTGCATGGAAGATTTCCAAGCAACGACAAACTCATGCAAACAAAAACATACTGACATTTCGGTATCTATAAAAAGAACGTATAAACATAAAAAACATGTCTTAAAATAATTGTCGAACTTTGTCCATTTCATAATGTGTGACGTGATTTGTTTACATTTGGATACGCATCGAGCCGATATGAATGTACGAGAGAAAATCATGGAAAAATGTAGTTTAAAATCGACCTTGCTAACCGAAATGCTCCTCTGTGGCTAAATCGGTAAAGCACGCCAGGCTATATGACCGTTCCGTATAGGATACAGGTTCGATTAATCTCGGAGGACGCATATTTTCTATGAAAATTTCTCGGTCATTCAGGCCGGTAAATGTCAGTTTTTACTTAAAATTTTATCTATAAAAAGAACGTATAAACATATATATATATATATATATATATATATATATATATATATTTGTGTGTATTGGCGTTCTTTTGTTATGAATTCTCAGTATATCTTTCGTGGAACCTCTATATCGGGTTTACCAGAGTACAGCCTGCCAAAGAGCGGTTTCACCCCTGACAGATGATCCGTCCAGGGCAACTGGTGACTTCCATTGCATTGTCTATCCCATTTTGGTACGAATTGGTCAATTAGAATTTCATTTATTTTCTTCCAATCGTGAGGTAAGAACCAAAATTTTATAAGGTTCCGATTTAGGCAGTCCCTTCTGTATTGTATGATTATTTTTGGCCTTGAAAACTAAGTTCATTGTTGTCCTTGTCAAATTCTTATATTTACAGATAACGTATCTATCTATCTATCTATCTATCTATCTATCTATCTCAGCCAATTTATTGTTCAGCATTCATATCACGCCAACAAAGCTTCGGGCTTCCCTTTCATACGTTTTGTTTGAATGGATCGAAAGCCAAGCAGTAGTATTTATTTAGTTAAACTTACGGCAAATTTATTTACTCTGTAAATTCTTTGGCTGCTTTAAGATTGGGTTTACCTGCCACTTGGCTTTGACGTCGGATTCAGTTGTATCGGCGTGGCATATAAGATATGACACACACACACACACACACACACACACATATATATATGTTTGTGTGTGTGAATTTATGTGTGCATAAAATCTTATGCCAGGAACAGCATATATATATATATATATATATATATATATATATATATATATATATATATATATATATATGCATACACTACAGTTCACAAGTTTGAAGCGTCTCTCAGAATTAGAAACATATGAACTTGACAGAAGAGTTAGACATTAAGTGCTCTTAGAGTCTTTGAAAAAAGAACGGAATCAATTATCAAATTTAGATTTTGAGGAACGTTTGCAACAAATTCCTAAGATTTGTTCTGCAGTAATCAAGGCTAATGGAGGATAGTTTTACGAGAGCAAAATTTAATAATAAAATGCTATTTTTCTTTTTGTCGTAATAAAATATCTAATAAAAAAACACGTCTCACATTTTTTCAAACGTGTATAATATTTTTCTCTTATTTGGGGCCTATTTAAAAAAATACCAATTGTGATCTCAACCTTATAAAATGTAATATATATTGCACATATGTTTGTCATAGGAGCAATCCGCTTAAATATATTCTATTAAATAAACCGAACATGTTTGAACGATATTAAAACGTTAGATTTCATATTACCAAAAAAATTGTCTCGTTTTAAATAAAGCCTTGGACATTAATATATTTATTTTTATTTTTAGTTATAAATGTAAAGATTTAATTTTTTATATATTTAAACATGTCCAATAAAAAACGCTTGATAAATTTGTAAACTTTTCTTTGTATTGGGTTGGTGTATAATTATTATCAGGCGTTTTGAAGCAACGTTTATTATGAAGATAGAAACATAACAATTCAACGATAAAATTCTTAAAAATTATTCCGGAACGTAAGATTATCGAGACACATTTTTATAACCTGAAAATTAAATAATAATTTTACTAAAGAAAGTAAACAAAACAGCAATTTTTCTTAACAAATAACTCGCCTACAAAAACGCCTGATAATTATGCACCATTTCAATATATAATAAATTTATCAAGATTGTGTATATGTATTTCTAATTTCGTGTTTTTATTTAAACTTCCGTTTTTTCTTTTAAATTGTCAATTGCAACTTATGTTTGACATTATCAAAATGCTCTTTGATGACAGAAAGTCAAAAATTATCCGCATATATTTTGACGAAAGTACGGATACTTTTTGACTTACCCTCGTAGTTGCTTTGTTCTGCAATCTTTTTCCCGAACAAGTTCGAAAGCAACTCACTGTTAGTACGGAATTTACCGTGTATTGTACGCATTAGGGATTCCTCAGATTTTACTATATATGAATGAGTTGTAGGAGTGAGTCCATTGCTGTGTCTGGTAATAACTACGTGTTTCGTTCAAAAGGCCCGAAGGCTCACCCAGAAAGAAGAGCCATACCTGAACATGTTTATTGAGATAACAGATTACTACTTCTTGTTTAATTAGAAAAAAACTAATTCATATTTCTGTCATAATTTCTGTGCTGGTGAGGTCCCTACAAATGTGAGAGGTGTGTGACAAATCTACAAATAGACAAAACAGATACCCAAGCAGTCATAAAGTATCTGTAAAAGAAAGGTATCTCACACAAGGAAATCAATGAGCATATTGTACAGGCACTTGTTGAGGATTCCCTGTGAAGAAATGGATTGCAGAATTCAAGCTGGACAGGGAGAGCACAGAAGATGACCATTGGTCAAATAGTCTAAAAACCTTAACCACTGGGAAACAAATGATGACATTCACCGTATGGTTTTGGATGATAGACATCTTATTGTCTGTCAGATAGCTAAGTCCATAGGCATTAGTTCTGGTTCGGTCCATACTGTTTTAAATGAAATCTTCGGGATGAGCAAGCTGTCTGAAAGATGTCTTCCAAGAATGTTGTCATCAAAGCAGAAACTGAAAAAAGCTTGACATTTACCGGATATTTCTGACAAGTTTGCATGTTGACCATGAGAAACTCCACCGCGGATTAGTAACTCAAGATGAAACCTGAATTAAAGATTCAAATCAAACTGTAGAAACACTCAGGTATTTCACCCCGAAGTAATTCAAGCAGGCAGCATCTGTTGTCAAGGTGAGAGCTTCATTATTTTTTAATTCTAGAGGTGTCAACATGATAGACTACTTGAAAAAGGGAAAAAAAACTATTAAAAAACAGAAGTATGCATCAGAAATAAGACAACTGAAAAAAGCAAACAAGTCGAAACGCAGAGGGAAGTTGAGGGCAAGTGTATTCTTGCTCTAGGATAACGCTCGTTCCCATTGCTCAGGTGGCAGTAGCTGGATCAGCCAACTGTGACACTGAATTACTACACCATCCCGATTACTCACCAGACGTAGCTCCACCTGACCTTTTCCTGTTTCCTAAACCCGAATCCCAAATGCGTGGTCGCCATTTTTGAAACAATGATCAAATCACATGTGTTGTGGAGGAGTTTGTGGAGGACGAAAACGCCACCT